GGGGGGGTGCTAGTGGATCGCCGGAGCTGTTAGATTAACATTAACATGCTTATATTGTAGTTCTAAGTGCAATGCCTTGCGGCCTGTAGCACCATCCTTGATGGAGCATATGTGTGGGCAGGAAAGGAGTGAGCAGAGAGTAGAGTAGTTGTCGATTTTTGTTCTGTTTTCTGTGACTATCTGCCTCACCCTGTCAGACTTTCAGTTGCGCGCGCTACTAAAGAGACGTGTTACCATGGAAACCAAACAATGGTTCAGCTGTATTAAAGTCAGAGTGGAAACAGTTGTGTGTAAATCTGATTTTGTGAGAAATGCGGGAGAAATATGACCCCGGGAGGAAACCGGGAGAGGGCAATGAAATCGGGAGTCTCCTGCGAAAATCGGGAGGGCTGACAAGTATGAGTTGCAGTAGAAAATTCAACTGTAGCGCTGGTGCATTAATGGGAAACCCTTAAAGTTTGAGAACCCTCTATGAAACGTCAAGCTACCCCACAGCACCCCCTAGAGAAAATCTCTGGCGCCGCCACTGCCTGAGACCAGTGGCGAACCGTCGGGGCCTTCAAGGTATTCAGAGAATACCCTGGAACACTCAGATAAAACAAACAAAAAATCGATTGAATTATATAAATAAAATGTACGTATATCAAATGAATAAATGAGAATCGTATCTGTGTTGTTGATCTGTAATATTACAGTGTTACGTTGATTTGTTTGTCCTTCTCGGACCATGCACTACGCATTCAGTGGTTTTGTGTTAGAAGAGAAATGCAACAAATCAGATCTTGTTCTGGATCTCTGGGTAGAATATCCTTCAACCAAGGTATTCTACATCCTTGATAGAATGCCCTGGCCGTTGCACTGAATGAGAGCGTACGTTTGGACTGAAAGTTTGATCAACCAATCATATATTGATTTGTAGCCAATGGATGTATTCTTTCAGAGTTTCCCTCGGTTCCAGGGTACTCTAGAAGGCCCGGTAGTTCACTGGCGCGAGACAGAGGATAGATGAATGCGACGAAGCAATTCATGCAGTTTTATTGTTTTTAACGTTGAAATGACAAGTGCAACAGGTGAAGATGAAGTTGTTGCGGAATTGTTGTGAATACCCTTTTCAAGACGACAATTCAGTGAAAAGAGGGACATCATAATGCCGCGGGGGGGGGGTGTGTGTCTACAGAAGGTCCAGTTGTGATGGACACAGTTCGCCACTGCAAACCACATACAGTGAGACTCACCCATAGCGTGTGTTAAGCTGGCCGCCCAACGTGGATCCTGCAATCATTCCGATGCCAAAACACAGACCTATTTTGGATAAAGCGTCTGCCCGTTTATCAGGTTCTGAAAGGTCCGCAACTACCATCTGAGATGCTGCAGGCAACGGATGAAGACATACAAGCAAATGTAAAAAAGGTTTAACATAGAAATTGGGTTAAATATTTCAATAAAAATATTGCACATTGGTTGTAACTCACATCACCACTTGATATCAAAATGTTCTTTAAGATCACTTAAGAATATTATGAATCCTTTTCTTATGTATTAGGAGTATGTGGTTAATATGTAATTAACTGAGCTTCTAATACAAATAGAATAACCAACACTTCTTAAGAGATGATTAGTGACAGTTATTGAATGTTTCTCAAAGGCAGAAGAGAGAGTCTTAAAAGCCTATGTTTCTAAGAAATGTTTGAATTTTAAAATGTTAAGCTTAGTGAGCAGGATTGTAGAAGCGTGGTGCTTACCAGGTAGAACATGCATGAAGACTGTGGGGACTTTGTGGAGGAACAGCATGGCAGGACTTGATGCAATGGCCAGCAGCAGAAAGAAAACGATTGTCGCAGAACATGACAGGGACAAAGCTGCCCGGGCTCCGAAGATATCTGCAAACCTGCCATCAACAACAGCACCCACATTTTCATCTGGACAAAAACATTGTATGTTGCAAATATCAAAAGACATAATATTTATTACATTAAATTAAATATCATTTAGCTGACGCTTTTGTCCAAAGCGACTTACAATAAGTTTTGAAAAACATGAAGATTAAAACTCTGAAAAACAAGGAAAGTGCAGATATATTCACTTCAAGCAAGATCACAGTAAGTGCTGGTGAATTACATACAGAATATATGTTTTCTTACCTTCCAAACATAGGACCACCCAACAGCTGGATTAAACCAACCATGGTTTGCAAATAACCAAGCCACAAGGTGTCGAAACCAAGTTTCTTTGCCAAATACTACAGAGACATAATGAAAGAACAGACACAAATTCACAGTAATGTATGGCATGTAAACAAGCTCACAGCAGATTTCATCTTGATATGAGTTAATTCTTCCAACAGATTCAGTGTTGTAGCATTTGACACTAATTTTGCCTTAGACATTACGCAGATGACCTCTTTTTTTTAATGTATATCATGTTTATTATACGTTTGTGTCATAGGATGGTGTGAATTAAAAGAGATTCCCATGTTTACAACTTCCTCAAACAAAAACATACTGCTGTTTGCAGTAGTACTCTATTGCAGTAGCTGTCAACCAATTAAAAAAAGTATTAACTCAACATGGCACAAGTCTTTTGTCATTGTTACTAGTTTGCTTTTGATGAATGTGGCTTTGAGCCATATTTGAGAAAGGTGGTAGTGACTGTAGTGGTTGAGGCATTTCACTACAGATTTTTTTCAGTGCAGCCAACATCAAGATTACATATTTTTAAAAGCTGAATGAACCTTATAGACTAAATAAGAATGCTCAATGTTTAAACTACTGTGATTTTCCTTACATTTCACATTTACATAATTACATAATCTTATGAATTCCATTTCTACCATAGTTCCTTGTATTCTCTAGTAAATAATTAAAAGGTCACAAGACTTTTGTGTGATTGTGTGTATTTACTTTTACTTAAGTGAAGCGTTGTGCTTTAAGTGGAGCTTTTATTATGCAGTATTTTCACATTGTAAAGTTAGTTTTTTCATTGTTAAATAATCTGAATAGCCTTCTTCTAGCACCACTGGATATCATTATATAACAATGACATATGCTAACCTGCCTCCATAAAGGAAAATGTTTGATATAGTAATGTAAATGGACTTGACTGATATCACGTATGTCGTTTATTAAGAATGCTACATTTGTGAATGCTGGACTTTTCACATGTTATTAAGTAATTTCTCTGAGGTTGTCTAACCGCTTACAAAAGAGAATGCTGCACATTCAATGAATCGTAGTAAAGACAGCTACTGTTAACCTGTCCTAGGGTACACATCATCACGCTTACACTCATACCATTTGTAACCATTCATCACAACATCAGTAATAACATTTATGCATTTCCAGGTTTTCCGGGAGAGCTTTCGCATTCATGGCATGCACGGAAATATCAGCTTCCTGCTCTTGCCATTACATAAATACTCACAGGGGTGACGGAGAACTGTAAAAACATCCATGTGATGTCCAAAGTAGCGATGAGGTAAACAATGTTAATAATTTTCTTTCTTTTCGGTTGGTCTATAACGTGAGCCTGGATGGGAACTGAAGCTTTAGCGGTTTCCTCGGCTGTTTCTCCTCCTGCACTCATGTTGCCTCTTGTATACACACTTTTATATCGTTAGTGTTAATTTACCGCCAAACGTAAGCTAACAGTCGGTAGGAAGCAAGCTGCAAGACTTGTTCGGTAACAAAGCCTTTGACACGGTGAACTTTCGCATAATGTGGCTAACCTGAGTTTAGTTGTACTTTGGAACCGAACATAAAGGCGACAAGGAGGCGTTACCTTAGTACTGCCTTGGTTTATTTAGTTATTGTCCCTCCCTTATACAATTTTTGGATCATCATCCCACCGATGGTCCCTAAACGTCTCATATGCAAGCTAATGCTATGCAGAGGTGGGAAGTAACTACGTACATTTATGCTACTTTATACTTCTACTCCACTACGCAGGGCCGGTCCTAGACATGTTGGTGCCCTAGGCGAGATTATGATTTGGTGACCCCCCCTCCAAGCAATACACAATAGAATATATAAAGAATAAATGAAACATCTCTACAAAAGGCGTCCTATGCTCCTTTTATAAGAGAGGGCTTGGTGTCATTTGTAGGTAGCAATGTCAGAGTTCCAATAAAA